AGGGAGGGAGAGACAGAAACTTCCACTGTATTCATGTAATAGTGTCCTGGTCTCCCTGCCCCCCCCTTACGTGTATGCACAATGCACACACTACTTCTGAGGAAGCTTCTGGTCTGCTGGGCAAGAGCAAGTCATCCTTCCTCCCGCTCCCTCCCCTCCTCACAGTGGGGAAGCCACAGCAATCTGTTCCTGATGGGTAAACACAGGCATAAGTACGTGAGCACATGCTCACACACCAGCAACTCAGGGTCACACAGCACCCAGTGCTCACTTCATCCTGAAGACAGAGCACACACTTGGGCTCTCACTCCCACTCAGCAGATTTCCCCAAACCTACACACACAGCCGTAGCTTACAGACACACCCAGGCGGCCTCTCACAGACACTGGAACTCAGACTCTACCACATCATGGCCTCCCACGTGGACACCCGCTGCCACGGTCTCAAACACACTGGTGTGCGTGCACACACGCATTACAGTCAAAGTCTCACACACCCAGACTTTCCCAAACGCGCTTACTCAAAACAGTCACGGTCTCACATATGGATACCATCACACACTGAGAACAGTCGATCTTCCACACAGATACCATCGCACCTCCAGAAATTCAGTGCCCCCAGTCAGCCTCTCACACCCCCACACCTGGCAATGGGGAAAGCAGTTATGTTCTCACAACAGTCACTGGTGCTGGGATCTTGGGCACTAGACTGTGTTTGGGGGGAGGGAGAAAAGCTCAAGGTGGCCTCAGCAGGAAGGAAAAGAGAAAGAGGAACTTTGCTGGTACCTAAAAAATTTGGACAAATAGATAATTACCATAGGCTGTTCCTTCCTTCCTAGCCCTGCTGTCACCAACATTAGATAATGGAAGAAGATCCAAGTCAGACAGGAGAAGTGGAAGAAGCCCCTGGGTGAAGTGATGGTGGCAGCAGCAAGAGCCACCAGAAACCAGTCCATTCCCATGACCCCTACTGCCTCCCCTCTCAGTCTGGCTACCTGCTGTGTGATCCCAGGCCTTTTCAAAAACCAGTCTGTGCCCACAACTGTCCACAGGGCACCCAAACATCAAGCCTGGTTGCAATAGGGGCAGGGGAGGGGAAGGAGATGCGGCCTCGACCTTAACCCCAGCTCCAGTCAAAGCCCTGTCATCAATGATGTCAAACCCCAAAAGAGATGGTGACAGACCTCCAGCAGCAGGCAGGAAGAAGCCGGTGTTCCCCTAACTTTTTGCCCTAAGGCAAGAAGCCTGAAGTGTCCTCGGGCCCTCCAGTCCCACTACCCCTACCCTGCACCACAAGAGAGCACACTGTGTCGCTGTCCAGGCAGAATGGAATCCAGACCCTAGAATAATTGGCAATGCTGCTGACAACTGCACCACTTGCCATTCCAGGTGGAGCTTGGGCTGCATGCATGCCTCTTCTAAAGGGTATCTAATAAGGTTCCATGGAGACCAGGCAGGCCAGCAAAGGATGGACAGCACAACGAAGGGACCCAGTAGAAGCCAGGTGGCAGCAGTATTGAAAGCAGGCAGTGGGAACAAAAGAAGCCAGGTAGCTGGATGGAGGGAAACAAGGTAACAGGGCCCCAAAGAAGGTAGGCTGTGGGGGTCACTGAAACCAGGCAGTGGGGACAAAGGTTAGCCAGAAGGTGGGAACAAATGAAGACAAGCAAGAGGTCCACCGGATGTGAGGAAAAAAAGATATCAGGCGCTCATCCCCTCTGTCTGATGTCACTCCCACAGCCCGGGCCTCTCCCTCAGTAGCCCCCTTCCCACCCCTTCCCACCTAGGCGGTGGTCTCCTCCCCCAGATCAATGGACACAGCCAGAGCCCCCTCCTCTCTCAGAGGCCTTGTCCGGCTGCAGCCAATGGGCCCCGGCCCCATCCCTGGGACCTCAGGAAGTCCCAGTCCCTCCCACCGGCGGCCGAGGCAGGGGGGCTGGGTGGGGGGGGAGAGAAAGAAGAGAGAAGAGAGACAGCTTGGCAGGGGAAGCTCGCCGCCGAGCAGCCGCGGGGGGCGGGGGCCGAGAAAGGAGCGGGAAGCGCCGAGGAGAGCTGGCTGGCGGCTGGGGGCGTCTTGGCCACTGACCTGGGTCCCCACGCAGGCGCCCCGTCGGTGCCTCTGGCGCTCCGTGGGTCCGCCTGGCCGCCCACATGCATCGGGCCCCCGGGGGTCGGGGCTGGGGCCCGGGCGGCCCGCGCCGGTGCTAGAGGCTAGAGCGGGGCCGCTCCGAGAGTCCCCGCGGGCGGGCGGCCGAGGCGCTAGCGAACCAGCCGGGCGGCGAGCGGGCCGGGCGAGCGGGAGGGGAGGAAGGAGCGCGCCGCGAGCGAGCGAACCGGGCGAGTGAGCCGAGCTAGCGGAGGGAGCGAGTGAGGGACGGCAGGCAGTGAGGTCATCCTTTGAATCTAATTGTCTGAGTCAGGAGGAGATGTGGCACTTGATGCAGGAGGAGGGGTGGGGAGAGGGACCCTCCAGGCTGCAGGGCCCGGGCCTTTCCTCACACCCAGGGGCGACAGTGGCCTCCCTTCCCCCCCACCCAGGGTGAAAGTTGGCAATTTCACACCCCTGTCTCAGGGCTGATCTCTGCTGTCAGGGGGTTCCTGTGGTCACCTTTATTCTCTGGGGTGACAGGGACTGCCACCCAGACCCAAGTCACCTTACTACTTTTCTGATGGCAATGGAAGCCTGCCACCCATCCTGGGCTTAGATTCCCGTCCTCTGAGGATAAAGGGGGAACTTTAGCCAGTCTTCCAAATTACCTTCTTGCACTTTAGAAGCATGAAATGACTGCCCAAGTTACTTCTCCCACTGAGAATTTGAAGGAATTTCGCTCACCTTTCTGCCCTCTGAGAATGACAGGGCAGTGGTTACTGGGTCCTCCAGATGCTGCACTTAGGGGGGTCATCAGGACTGCCAACTTACTCCAAGGTTTCCCTATTCTGCATGTCCAACCCTTGAGGAAGGGCAGGAGCAGGGCCAGCTGCCCAGGGAACCAGACTGCTCAGACGGTGGGGAGGCAAGACAGCAAGTGGGCCCTGGGCCTGTCAGGTATGCACAGCAGCATGGACCCCAGAACACACACACATGTACACATACATGGTAGCGGGGGCACCCAGCGGCTGGGGATGCTCACACCATGGCTACACACCCCTCCCCTCACCCCCATAGGGGAGGGGTGATAAATATTTAAGGGGCTTTTAGCTCTGAAGGGGCTGAAGCTCGGGGGAGGGAGGGGGATCCACGATGCCTGATTAATGGGGTTACGGGCTTGGATCAATCAGTCCGCCCGCCGCTCCCTCTTCCCTCCTCCTCTTTCCCTCCTCCTAATGCGCTTTATCAGGAGACGCTTTTCTGACTTGGCAGCCTCGGGTGTTTTAAATAGACCCATTTAGAGCAGGGGTTGGGGGGGAGAAAAGGAGGGGGGAGAAGGGAAACAGAGATTGAGACAGGCTGGGAGACAGAGACAAATCAGGAGAGACAGGCCCCTGAAGAGAGAGACCAAGAGACAGAAGGAAATGCAGAGACATGGAGATAAGAAACTGAGGAGGCGTCCATGGAGGTTGAAATGGAAGGGGGGATTGATGGGGAGCCTAGGGAAAGCTGGAGGCCAAGAAGCAGAAACAAACAGAAAAAAAAAAGGCAGAAAGAGAGGAAAGGAGTCACCAGCAGCAGGGAGAAACCCAGAGAGGCTCTCTGCAAGGGCTGAGTGCTAGCCTGGGAGACAGCAGATACCTTTTATTTCCAAAAACAGTTTTTCATCCACTTTGTTAAATTAAAAAGCTGTTTTTAAAGTGGTGCTGGAGGTGCTGCTGGAGGAGGGTGGACAGAACTGCCAAGTCCTCCCTCCTGGCCTCTTCCTCAGAGGGCCCCCACAGAAGCTGCCTCAGCCTTAACCCCCTGGGGTGTTCTCCAGCTCCCCTACTCTTTGCGATCCTCTGAGATCCCCAGGGACAGGGTCAGGGCATCTGAGCTACTGTTCACTGGCAGGAAGTTCTTCCTGCTGTCTGGCTTCATTCCCTCTTGCTTCAGAGAGTCCATTCTCTTACATGACCACTTGCCTTCTCTTCTCCAGCCCTGTCCCGACTCTCTAAGCTGTCCCAAGTTAGAGAGAGGATTATGTGCCTTCATGGCTTAGTAGCTCACTTTCCCAAAGAGCCATCCAACTCCATCCAGGTGTGCCCCCTATAAATATTTACTATCTATTATTCTATAAATCCTGACTTCTATCTGATACCCCACCCCATGTCCTTGGGTTCTCTGAGAACAGTGAGGTTGAAGCTCAACTCTCTTAACTGTCTTCTGGAGCCTCCTGCTTCCCTTCCTCCTCTTCAGAACCCCAGGTCCATCTTAAGCCCCTTTTCTGGCTAAGTGTCAGTCTGGAATACCTCACCCCACCCTCAAAAACACCACAGTCCTAGTTCTAAAGGGTCATTCCCCCCTACTCCGGGGCCGGGAAAATGGCCAGTCTGTTTGGGAGCTGAGATGAAAAGCCCAGCCGGCCTTTGTGGGCCTCTGGCGGGTTTTGGACAATAGGCCCTTCCGTTCCGCTCCAGCGCCTTGATTCCTTGGACACCCCCACCCCCAGGCTGCCAATCCAGGGGCCTTGCCTAGGCTGAATAAAGGCAAGGAGAGTTAGGCCCGGCCCCATGGCTGGCCCCAGAAGATTCTGGACTTTCTGACACCCCCACCCCCATCCCATCTCCTCTAAGCCCAGCTGCTCTCCCTATCAAGCCAGAGAGAGGAAGCCTGACAATGAGACAGAAACATACTCCCACATCCCAGGATTCAGTCTTCCCAAAGCACAGCCCAGTTTTCTAATCTAACTTTGCCCTCGCCTGTGTCACTGTGGGTCTCTTTTACCTTATGGGCCTACCATGGGTCATAAAAAGCCTCAGAGGATGAGATCTCAGGACCTCCCTCACTCTGATCCCAGACCTATAGCCCCCCACCACACCTGATGCCCTGAGAGTAGCCTGTCTTCCGGGGGGGCCCCCAAGACATACCTCTTCACCACTGGCTATACACGGAGTGCATCAATGTCCTCCTCCTCCAGACCAAACTTTTCTCGAAACTTCCAAAACCAAAGGGGTGGGACGATGTGACCAGGTTGGATTCTAAAACAGCAAAGGGCACACATGAAGAGGTCAGAGAGGAACCACGGGCCTTGGTTCAACTCAGCGTTCCTTCCCTGTTCACAACCCTAATATGGGAGGGAAGCAGCTAAGTATCTAGAGGAGATATTGGGAGTAGTCCAGACTGTCCCCAGGACCCCTTGCTGTCATGAGGTTCTGAACCACAGAGACAAAGAGAGGCCAGAAATCACTGACCCTGACACCACACACAGATCCACGTGCATCCCCACCCACAGATAACCCCAAACCCCCCACTCAACCAGTTGACAGACTCAAGCACCGCCATGTCACACACATCCTCACACGCACACTCACACGGAGACATATGGTCACCGGCAGGGCAGAAACACCCGCCATCATGCCACCCTCTTCCTCTCCCCTCATCACTGCTATGATTTATTGAGCATCTGTTATGTGTCAGGGACTATGTCAGGCACTCTATATGCATTATCTCATTTAATCCTCATGACTTCTCCATGAGGTAGGTTCTATTATTATTCCCATTTGACTGCTAAGGAAACTGAGATTCAGGAAGGCTAAGTAACTTGCCCAAGACTACAGGGCTGATCAGTTCCAGAGCAGAAGTTTGAGTGTAGTCTAACTCTAAAGCCTCTCTGCTGTAGCAGTGTGTCCCCAGAGCTCACTCTTGCCACCAGTGTCTTTCCCAGTAACAGTGGTAACAGCTAACACTTCTTCAGGGTTCTTGATGAGTCTAACACCATGACACATACATTTTTTGCACTAAATCATCAAAACAAACTTTGGAGTTAATCTTACGTCTACTTTACAGATAAGGAAACTGAAGCTCGGAGAGCAAAATCACCTCACCCACTCACACAACTGGTAGCTGGTAAAGCCACTGTTGCTTCTATGGCTCCAGCTATGCAACAGAGCCCACACGCTTCATGAGACCCTCAGGTCAAACTTTCCCCACCCCCAAATCCACACCCCAGGTGTCTGCAAAAGGTATGAACAGGTGCCTCATTACATACACGTGAGAAAGGGACTCCATGCCACCCAACCCCGCCAGAGATGCAGAGTAACCACCCACCAGGCAGAGAGGGCCAGAAACTAACAGGTGTTAGAGACGGGATGGCTCACAGTAACAGATACAAGCATGCCAAGAAGGAGGCCCAAAGAGAGGGTAACAGAGGGAAGACAAGCAGAAGAAACACACCAGGACAGAAAAAGAGACAGTCACCAAAGGAGATGATAGGCAGAGAGGAGGGCACAAACGGACATGAAAAGATTGATAAACAGAGACACGGAGACACATAGACCCAATGAACCTTCGCAAAAAAAAAAAAAAAGACACAGTTTGAGCCCAAACTGCCTGTGGTATGTGTGTATGTGCGTGCCCGTGGCGGGGCACGCAGTCTGTATCGCTACGCACATTACACCAGCTGCTTCCAGCAATTTCATCTGATTAATAATAAATGCCCCATAATTACAGCCGCTCCCCCAGTCCTTCTTCCTGTTTTTTGTCAGCTGCCGCCAGGGCAGCCCCCCCAACCCACCCCGCCGTGGACCCCATGGCCCCCTCCATCCTCACCTGCTGCTTTCTAGGAGGCTGAAAGGGCTTGGGCTGATGGAGGAAGCCAGATTCCCAATCTGAGGGGAATACCCACCTCTGTATCTTGGATTAATGCTGGCTTCCTCCAAGCAAAAGGTCATCTCCCTTGGGCCTCCCTCAGAACGCTCCCCTTCCCCTGGGTATAATCTGTAACCCCTGTGTGGTCTAGGGATCCGGGTCTACGAAGCAGTGAGATGAACTCTGACTACCCTTGCCTATTCTTTTTTTTTTCTTAAAGATTTGTTTTTATCTATTTACCCATACAACAACTGGGGTATAGGCCAGAAGTGAGGGGAGTGAGAGGATTGACCAGAGACAGAGTGGGGAGTAGATCAGGCAGACTTATTGAAATACACTGCCACGGAGGGGAGCAGAGGGCACGACAGGAGAGGCCTGCTGTGCCATGTGGGTCAGTTCCCTGGCAGGGATCAAACTTGAACTCATGCAACTCACGCTACCGTGGCTGGTGATAGCTTGAGTGGTGCAGAGACTTAACCCCTTGCATCACCAGGGAAGCCCCTTGCCCATTCTTTATCACTCATTGGCTGAAAGACATCTTCATTCACAAACTTCCCCTAGCCTCCGAACCTAACAAAAGAAAGGGGCCAGGATAGGGGCCCTGGCCCATCACCCCAACCCAGGCATCCCTATTCTCTGATACTGTCTCCCCTCATGCTTTGGATACTCTGTAGCTCTGCCTCCCATTCCTGAGCCACACCCCCACTCCCCCCACCCCCCCAGGTCCACCTCCTTCCAGCCTCCCACCCTAGTTCTCCAAGGCAGCTCTATCAGAATCAGCTGCGGGTTTGTGCTGATCTGTTTCTAATCGCTGGGGCCTGGTTCACGCTTGCCCCCACCCCCCAATATTGATTCCATTATTTGGAGAGTCATTGACGTCAGGGGCTTGGATGAGTGCCAAAACCGCCTCTCTCCAGGCCTGGGCCAGGGCCCACCCCCCATCCCACAATTTCACGGAGGGCCCAAAAAGGTCAGCTCACAGGCCAAGGTCACACAGCATCTGCCCTCGGGAGGCTGGGCTCTTCTGACTTTTGGGGGACCACTGTGCTACTCCCTTCTCCTGGGGAGAGGGGCTACAAAGAGCCCCAAGGGTCAGAAATGTGAGGTGGAGGGATAAAAAAAGGAGTTTTCAAGAATCTCCTAGGGACTGAAGCAGCAAGAAGAGGCTCTAAGAGGTATGGATGGGGCAGTAACTGAGAAAAGGCTACTTGGGAAAGATTTTGTTTTTATTTACCACACGATCACTTCAGAATATACTAAAGCTGGATTTGGAATGGTTAGTATGGGCTACTTGGTTTTTGTGTCTGTTAGCTGATCTATCTCCAGACTGTCTGAGAGAAATTCTCTGCAGTGTAGAATAACAGATTACTCTAAATGTGGCCATAATTTAACTAACTGGCCTCATCAATTGCTAAGTCTCTGCTCCCTATAAAACAAAGGCTCTGTCTCCTGTGCATCCCTTGCTCAGTTTCCCCATACCCACACACTCTCCCAGTGTCTCCTGGCTCTGGATGAGAGTGTGTGTGTCTCTCTCAGTGTCACTGCTATACCAGCCCTCACTGACAGTGCTGAGGCTCTGGCTGGGCAGGGTATTTTTAGGATCTGAACCCTGTGTTCTCAGACAGACATTAATAACCAATACAGATAGTCTGATGCCCACAGCAGCTACAAAGCCTCAAAGCCTAGCCTGGAAAGCTCAGAGATGGGGTCTACTGTCTCGGCTACAGTCCAAGAAACCCAGACCTAGGAAAAGCAAGGTCATAACCACATCAGGAGAAAAAGACTTTCCCACCTTCTGAAAAGTCCAAATACCTAGTAGTGGGAAGAAGACAGAGGAGAGCTGTCTTCACAGAGGTGACTTCTGCCACAATCTCAGGGTCATTGCCCTGACCCAATCTCCTAGTCTAGACCTTTCAAGGAGAAAGCAGCTACCTACCCTGTGCGTGCCTTCCCTGAGTGCGGGGAAGTCCTTCCTTTAGTCCAGCCTGGAAACTACTCTGGTCCTTCAAGCCAAATAAGGAGTATACAAGAGAGGCTGTTGGATCTCAAGTCACACACCTTAGAGGGTCCCCACTCCCCATGTTCTGTCCCTCTCAATGATTCTTTCCTCAGTATTTATCAAGCATTTAAGACGGTCCTGCCCACAAGGAGCATTCAATCTGATGGGAGAGAAGAAGCTTTATTCACTCAGTGCTGGCCTCCACTGTGTACCAGGTCTGTGCCAGGGGCAGGCACACCATGGTGGACAAGGCAGACCCAGTGCTGGGTGCCACGTTGCTCACAGGTGAGCATCGTGTAAGTGGGACATACTGACGGCCCTGGATCTGGAAAAACACAACCTCCTGCAGCACTGAACACTCTTCAGAACTGGGCCCTTGTGCTAACCTGAGGTCACCATCATTGTCAAACTTACGTTCCTTCCCCTGTAGCTCCAGTGCCAGCTTCTAGGAGCTGGTTCTGCGTACCAGCAAAGCCTGTCCCTTCCCCTACATCTGTCCTGGCTCCTCCGTACACCTCTTGGCCCCCAGAGCTCCCTGCTCTGATGACCCCAAATCCATAGTGGCTTTGTGCTTTTGAAGGCTCTTCTCTGCCCTCTGCAGAGGTAAAGCAGGGTGATGACCTCAGCACTCTAGGCCCACAGGGATCACTTGCCTCCCCAACCCCTCCCCACAGGAAGCCAGGAGCCCTGTGGGTGTGGGCCACAGGAGTTTACACAGCTGAGGACTCCCCCACTCCTCCCACCTCCTGGCAGATCTGGAGGAGGGGTCAGCTCTCCTCAGCCTCCATGCTCTCTGGGACCCCCCAAACCAGGCACACATGGTCCCCCCCAACCCATCTGCATTTCAAAGAAAATCTACTCCATATGTTTCCGATTCATTTACACTTCAACTCACCATGGGGGGGCAGAGAGAAGGGCGCCTCGCCTCCAAACCCCCTACCCCCATAGGGGGGCTGGAGAGCATGTGTCTCCTTCTGGGGCCGGGAGCCCAGCCATCTGAGCCCCACAGGCAGCTCCACAGGGAGATAATGTACCTCTGGCAGCCCCAGCATTGGCCTCCATACTGGGAGGGCAAATAGAGCCAGGGCAGAGTCTCCAGGCCAGGTGGAGTCTTAGGGCTGGTTGTACTTATATACCCCCCTCCCCCCCACTGCCAGCCCAGCATTGCTACTGCTTTTCTGGGGGGTGCAGTGGAGAATCCTGGGCATGCCCTGGCTCCAGAATAAGGGCTCAACAGGCATTCCAGAAGACACTGAAATACAACTTAACTTGGCCCCTTCTCCAGCCAGGGCAGAGAAGATGGGTTCCAGTTCAGTCTCCTCTGCCAGCTACTTTCTCACCACAGATATGGGGTTATAGCCTCTCCTAGGATCAGAAATTCAACATCCTGGAAGGGCAAAAGGAGCCAACAGTCTACCTATTGCTGCACCAGGTCAGTCTTCACACCCCTCCCACTCTAAGGAAGACCTGGATAGGGAAGATGAGTTGGGAGGTCGTTTGTCTTATTTCCCCACACCTGACTCTACTACAGAAAGGGTGTCCAAAACTGTTTAAGGGGGATGTGCATCTGCATGACACACGGGGACATTCGTGTAGGTGTTACCCTATACCAAAAATCTACAAAGAATTTCCTGCCAAGACCCTCTTCTCCTTGTGGAAGGAAAGACAGAGAGGAAGGCTTAACTGGGTCATTGTTTGCCACCATCCTCTCTTAGCCCACAGCCCAAGTGAGAGAAGTGACCAAACATGTCTCCCCTCCCCTTTCCACCTTTGAAAGGGAGAGATCCTGTATCAGTCTCTATTCCTCATCCCAAGTGCCCTGGCAAAATACCATAAACCATGGTAAAGCATGGGTGTGTCTGACTGAATTCCAAGTTCCACGAAGAGAGTGGACACCAAAATCGTAGCATATTCCCAATATGAACCCAGGTTGCAGAGTGCATCTGACTGTCAGCCCCCAAACTGAAGTGGGACTTTAACAGGATTCCCATACGAATCTATATAAGCATTAGAGTCCTAATGTAAGCCTGAGTGTGAGCATCTCTGGTCATAACGGCATTCTGAACTGAGCTGTGGTTCCCCATATGAATCTAAGTGTAAGTACTAGAATCCTTTTGTAAGTCCAAGTGTGAACACTGAGCCCCTAAATGATCTGCCAAGGTAGAAGTAAGGATCTTGAGCATGAGTACTAGGGCCCTACTGTGAATCCAAGCATAAGTTACCACATCTTAATGCAAATCTGAGTGTGAGTCCTAGGAGGTACAGGAAGTGGAGGGAGTCACCAAGATCCCAGAATAAGTCTTAAATGTGAGCCTCAGCTTATCTAATCCCAAGGGTCCACAAAAGAATCTAAGTGTGTGGGCCCTCCCTGGTGGCGACGCGGGTTGAAGCGCAGCACTGAAAGGCTAAAGCTACTTCCTCATGAGTTCGATTCCTGCCTGCCCCGGAGGTGACCACATGGCGCAGCAGACCTCTCCTGGCCCGCCCGCTGCTCCCCTCAGCAGTGTACTTCGTGGAGGATCTGCCTGTTCTGCTCCCCACTCTGTCTCTGGTGAAGCCTCTTGCCGCCCCAGTTCTGTGTGCACAAATAAATAAAAAATCTTAAAAAAAAAAATCTAAGTATGCACCCAAAGGTCCTAGTATGAATCTGAGTGTAAGCTCCATGGCCCCTGTGTGAATCTGAACAGGCGTCTCGGCGCAGAAGTATAAATCTGAGTAAGAGCTCCAAGATGGTAGTATGAGTCTAAGAACTCACCTGTGTGATTCCCTGAGTTTGTTTATGTGAGCCCCTGAGCATGAACACCAGGATTTAAGTATGAATCTCAATAAGATCGAGTCTTGAGGCCTCCCTAGTGTCACATGGGTTAAGTCTTAGCACTATTAAACTATCACCAGCCTCTGCAGCAAGGAGTTCGATCCAGGCCAGGGAGCTGACCCACATGGTGCAGCTGACCTCTTCTGTTTCACCCACTGCTCCCCTCTGCAGTGCATTTCAGTCAATCCACCTGTTCTCCTCCCTACTCTGTCTCTAAAGAATCCTCTCATCCCCTCACACTTCTGGCCTTCACTCCAGCTCTCGTATGCATAAATAAATGAAGTGAATTTTTTTTTTTTAAATCCAGAGTCTTAGTGTGAACCTAAATTTGAGCACTAGGACCCCAGAGAGATTCTGAGTGGGTTCTAGGACTCAATGTGTCTGTGAGCCTCAGATAGAAAAGTGAACCTACTGCTGAACCTAGAGTCCCAGTGTATCTAAGTGTGAACACAGAATCCCAGTGCAAGTCTCAGTGTGAACACTACTGAAGTGTGTATCTGGACATGCGCTCCTGAATGTAAGTATGAGTCCCACTGTCACATATAACTGTGAGTCTGAACCCATATGAATGTAAATCCCAAATTTCAGTGCCCCGATGGGAATCTGACTTAAGAATTCCAAGCTCTAAGGAGTCTTAAGCATGAATTTTTAACTCTTAATTTCTGCATAAGGCACAGGTAGAGAGAGTATTAGTTCTGGTGGAGGTCCACATCACCAATTCTGACCAGACCTAGCCCAGAGAATTCTTGCAGGTTTGACACTGGAGAAAGGAAGGTAGAGTTTACTGAGACACACTGGCTCATCCATCTCCCACGCCCTGGCTAGCACCACAGTCAGAAATATCCAATTGTTCAAGCCCCATTCCCACCCAAGCAATAGTACAACATTGCACCTGAAGTTAGACACACAAAAATACTATGAGTTTCAGATACCCTAGACCTGCAGCAATTATGGGTGCACAATCACACGCAGCATTTCAGATCCCCACCACCTCAGTGATTGCATCCCTATTGACACAAATATGCCGAGGGTTACAGACAAAATAACTAGTGTTAGACACACTCCTACAGCGGCATCCACACACACGGAGTTGCAGACAAGCTGCCAGCCACACAGACACACACAGACGCTTCTCAAAGAGAGAGACTAGACGGAAAGAGAAAGAAAATCCTGAATTTTCAACAAGGCGTGAAATAGTCCTGCCCGCCTGAAGCTACTGAAGGGGGGAGGGGGCCCAGGGAGCCTGTGAGAGCGAGATCTAGACGCAGGAGAGGAGGTTCGGGAGAGGAGAGTAGAGGAGAGGAGCCCAGGAGAAGAGCTGTCCGTCTGGTGACCTCCCCGCAGCCCAGCCCCCACGCACGGGGAGATACTCTACTCCGAACAACACAGAAACACCCAGGCCGGCTCACACACAGCCGCACTGGACACACACCAGCAGACTCACAAAGAGATACTTGGGGATGAGCCTTAGCGGACTCACCGGACACATAACATAGGAGCACTTACAAAGAGATACTGGAGGAGACCCACTACATAGAGATACATACAGGCGGACTCACGAGAGAACCATAGGCAGGCTCACGCCGAGACACACACACACACACACACACACACACACCCCGTATTCGAACGGACACATACACTGGCAGACGCGCAACCATCCGTTTCCAACCCCGGGCGCTTTTAAGTCCCGATTTCTAAGAGAAAGGGAAGCCGCCTCCGGGCGCGCGGGGGTCACTGCGACCCCCCCCCCCCCCCCCAGCTCCGGAATTTTCCTAGACCCAGTGCGGGCGTCTGAGAGGTGGGGAAGAACCCGGACTCTAAGACCATCCGCCAGGGCCACCTCCCCCCAGCCTGTAGTCCACCCCCACCACCACCACGCCCAACCCCCGGCGCGCCCAGACGTGGGGGGCCGATTCGCCCGAGCCCTCCACCCCGAGTTTGCGGGCAAAGTTTCCGCAGAACTTTCCTGCCATCCCCAGGTCTCGGGCCCACGCATGTCCCCTCCCTTTTCCAGCGCGCACGAGGCCCGCGGATCTGTCGGTGAGCCGAGGGTTTGAGGGTCCGGCCGCGCGCGGTCCGCCGCTGGGTACTCACCGCGCCCTCGGGCCCCGGGGACTCGGCGCTTTGCCCTACGACGGTCCCCGCAGGGAGCGAGGCAGGGAGCGCGGAGCTACGCACTGCTGCCGGTTCCCGCCGCCAAGCCCCTCGCCGCGCGGGCTGGAGCCGCCGCCTCCGCTGCTGCCGCCGCCGCCCGCTCTGCACCGGCTCCTCGGCGCTCAGCGGCTTTAACCCCCCCATCCTCCACCCTCCCTCGCGCGCTCCCTCCCTCCTTCCCTCGCCCATGTGACCGCGGGCGCCCGCTCGGCCGCGCGCGCCCTCTCTCCCCTCCCCCTCCAGCCTTGTCTCCCCGCGCCTCCGCCGCGGCGCGCCACGACCCCCCCACCCCCAGGCCACAGCCCCCGCGCGCCCCCGCCTTGGCACGCTCCCGCGCCTGGCACGCGCGGCCCGCTTGCGCGGGCACACTCACCCTACACAGGCCTGTGAGCCCCACTCCCACTGGCCTTACGCTGGCACGCGCCCTCCCCTAGCTGGCACACTCGCCCGCACTGGCATGCGTGGCCCCCTCACATTCGCCCTTCCTTGGGAACGCCCTCTAGACGGCGATGGTCCCTGTACTTCACGCGCAGCCCCGATCGCAGGTCTCAAAAACGCGCGTGCACACATACCCACACCCACCCCGCCGGATCCCCTAGGACCGCTGGGCGTGCATCCACCCTACCCACCCACCCCCACCCCGGGTCGCTTATTCACTCTCGCTCAGTCTTGTCCACGTCTCTGCTGCGCAAACTCCCGCACGGTCAGGCCCTGACTGCCTAGTACCCACACCTTGGTACACCCGGACCAAGACTCTCAGGGTCCTCCTTCCGACTTCCCCGTAAGCAGGGTTGAACTCAGACCTCCTCTCCACCCCCAAATCCCACTTTGGGCACAAGTCTCCACCTCTCTTCTATTCCTAACTCCTTGAGCAATGACACACCTCCCAGTCACACCCAGACAGATCCCTTGCGCGCGGAGTCAAGACTTTATGCTCCCATGACCCAAGGTGGACCAGGCTGGAAGCCCAGGCCCTCACCTCCCACCATGCCTCTGGTGATACCAACGGACTGCCGCCTCCTTCCTCAACCCCCTCCGGGTCACATGACCAGGAGAGAAGCCTCCACTGGGATAAAGGGAGCATGGACCGTGCGCCCTCTATGCCTAGACGGGCAGTTCGAGAGCGCCGGACACGAGCGAATTTGGCCCTGAAGTTTCTCTCCTCGAGCCTTCCTTTCACAGCCTGGGCCTCTGAGGGGCCTGGTGTGCTCACTTGCCCCTGGGCCTCCAGTCTGGCTACAATGTGGGGGATTAAGTTTGGACAATCCGACCAATTTCTGAGGCCACGCGAGAGTGCAGCAGAAAGGGTGGATGCCAGAGGAGGTGAACAGATGGCCTCATCTCCACCCTTGGATTTTTCGCCTGACCTTTGACCCATAATCCCTGTGTCTTGCCCCTTGGGGAGCTGCTCCAGGGCCGGGGGCGGGGAGAGAAAAATATCTCCGTTTCCCCACACCCTAGCCCTGTAAGCTGCCCAGAGAGCGCGGGCCCATTCCCAACAAATACCTCAGGGACTCCCATTACAGAGGAGAACCTTCCCGCCACAGCCGGGCTTTTCACTTTCACTTCCGTGGCCGCAGAAGCCACTCCAAGCAACTGGCAAGGGTCAGATCGGGTTGAGGGTTAGAGAGAGCGAGCTGAGGTTTAGCGAAACTGTGGAGCCCAGCTCAGGTCTAATACCCCCCGCACCCACCACCATCACCTATTCATAGAAGGTGTCTCTGCACTCCGGGTCGGCAGCCTGCGCTCCGGGCCGCGGTTCTAGGACCATGTGACCAGGTGGGCAACCGGAGGGAGCAGGTCAATGCGACCATTCTGAGTGTATGTGCCGCGGGGGAAGAGTTCGGTGAGGGGGTGGGGGGCTAGGTTAGAGTCAGGAATTGCCCTTTTCCCTGAACTGATGCCGAGCGCAGAGGAAGATCGAGCTCCAGGAGCCGCATCCCGCTCTGCGAACCGACGGACGTCGACATCCCTCTTTGGTCGGTTGACTCGATCTCCAGATCCTCCAGTGCCCGGACTCAAACCTCTTTGTGCCAGGTTGATTTCCGCCCCAATCAAAGTCCTGTCTCCACTCGGGTACACGGGAGCAGCCGTCGGCAATGCCGCAGTCTGGGGATGCCAGGGTAGGTTCGGTGAAAGATGGGAGAGCCGCACGTGTCGGTGCGTCAAAAGGACTGAAGCGAACGGGAAGCGCACGTCGAACTAGATCCCGGAGTCAGACGGTCGGTACCTGCTCGGGGCGCAGCACTAAGCGGCCGCACCCGCTTCCTCGGAGCCGCAGCGACACCTGGCGGGCAGTACGAGACGCGCGTCTCCCCCTCAGGCTGCCGCTTTTGCCCGGAGGCAGCGGACACCTTCCGGACCCTGCTACCTCCAGCCTGCAGCCACCGCCAGACCCAGAACCTGTATCCCTTCCACTTGACCTGGGGCGATAGATTCCTCGTGGGTTTCCGCTCCTACCGTCTCCAAAGCCCTGTCCACACTGGAACTTCTGGTGCCCCTAAGCCTTTGTGTTGTGGGCCCCAAGGTTTTCCCCACTACCTTGGGGGTGAGGCCAACCTTCTGAGGCTCTACTTCAAAGCTCTGAATGATCTGGTCCTTTCTCCTCCCCAACTTTATTGGGCGCTACACCAGCCCCCTTCTCTTTTTGCACACTTAGCCTTAAGCCAAATCCCACTTAAGTGATGATGTGCCAGGTTTCGAGTTTCCCAAAGACCACCAAGGAGCCGATTCCATGCAAAGCACATGAGGGTCTTTATTGCAAGTTCAAGCCTGGGCTCCCAACATGCAGCGACGCAGCAACCGAAGTTGAGAGCCCTGAGCTCAGGGAACGCAGGGGTTTTATTACAGAAGAGGGGAGTTTCAGCTCAGCAGAGGGGAGTTTTATCTCAGCAGTACATTGAACAAAGTTATCTTGTTTTAACCTGGTAAGATGTAACCTTCACTACTCCTGCATACCTTAGGACATCTGGCGTACTGGTTACTTGCCTACTTGCTAATTGTCTGTTGCTATGGGATGAGCAAGATTAGGACATTTACAGTTAAATTCGGCCTTGGTGCTGTGATGATAACCGAAACTTAGGCCTGGCTGGTTCAGAAGCATTCTGAAGCCTGTCATGGCATCAGTTTGGTCTTTCAATAACCTCCAAGTTTCCCCCATCTTTCCCATCTGCCTATCTCATGGACGACAGCAGGAAGTAATAACCCCACATCAGAGTCCTAGTGTCTTGAAAGTGATGAGAATCATTGCAAGTGGGGAATTCCAGATGTGATAAACCCTGGGAAGGTCTTGAGAATTCAGGGAAATTCTTGACTTTGAGTCCCTTGAATTTTACACCCACCATGAAAAAGACAGTCCTGTGGCAGAATTTCTGGTTCCACCCTGCACTGTGGCAAGTGACCCAAACTTGGACCACCTCCCACCCCCAGGAATCAACTGCATCGCCCATCTCAAGCCTTTGGGTAGGTGGCAAGGACTCTTCCCCTTACTGCCAACCCACATTTTATGGTCCATCTTTTTCCAGTGCTCTGTGGAGGAAATGTTGCTGGTTTCTAACCTGAAAGTTCCAGTATATACTTGACTACCTAAAGTTAAAAACACACTCAGGCTCTTGGACTTACCTACAAAATACCAAAATAATACAGGCAGACTCAAAAGAGTCAAGTATGTATGTTCACTGGGAATCAGGTTCCCCTGCTTGAGGTTGGAAGCTACAAGTCCCAGAAGGGCGGACCTCCCAGAATCCCACTCTTACACACGGTACATATGCATAAACACAGCCACACATACACAGTCAAGTACTCAGTCACAACCGCGTGTCACACGGGCACAAAATCACATGCGCAAAATCACACACGCTCTCAATCACACAAAGTCCCAAACAGGGGTTTGGCGGGTCGGGGCGGGCTCCGGGAGGCAGTTACGTAAACGCCCTCACAGCCCCCCCTCACTCCCCCTCACCCCCCCTTCCTGCATCCTTGCGCAGTGCCAGCGCCCGGGGCGGCTTGGCCGGGGCCCGGGAACAGCTCGGCCTCGCGGAGGCTCCAGGCGCCGAGAAACCCGATCCCGACACAGCCCCAGGCCGAGACATGGAGGGGAGGGCCAGAACACACACACCCCCACTCAGAGCCCAGCCCAGCCCCCCCAGGGACGGCTCACCCCCTCCTGAGAGCTCCCAGCACCATCCTGGAACAGCACAGCACCTAAGGCTTATGCACGAACCTCCCGCCAGGCAGCCCCCTTCTGCAATCATCTGGAGTGCCCTGACCCTTCTCACTTAGGCTACCAGAAAAGAGCAATGATTCCCTAAAGTTGAGAATGGGAGAACGCTGAAGCTATAATGGGAGAACCTTAGTATTCAGCCTAGAATTATCCCCTATTCTCTGGAGCTATATCCTCTGTTCAAAAGGGCTCTCTAAAGTCACCCAGAATACAGAATTTACCTTCACTTCTGCTCCAGGCATCCCTCAGATATGCTGCCTATAGATCCCAAGATAGTCTATCAGATTTCTGAATTATACAGATAGATCCAAGGCCTCCCCATCCTCTCTATAATACCCTTCCTTCCTCCTTAGTTGGAAGTTCTAACTCTAAACTAACCCCAGTTTCTCCTGTTTTGCCAAGAAGGAAGTTTGAGGGCAACCTGAGACATTGGGAGTAAAAAAAATCCCTGCAAAGAAGGATTAAGACTCATGAAACCCTTGGATATCTGGCGTTTAAGAGGAAGGGAGAGAACATGTGTGTCACACACCCCCCCAATATACCCGCCACCCCACTCTGCAGCCCAGACTCTATTTTTCACAATAGCTTTTGAGTATCTGCCTGGGCTGCCCAAGCCCAGGCAGAAAGGGAATTTGCTCCTATGTTCTCTGTTAATGAACAAAACATTTCATGTTGAAATTCCTCCTCTGCCCCCAGCCCAGTGTCTCCAGGGCCCCCCAGCCTGACCTAGTAGGAGGACCACTAGGAGGGGAGTAGCAGCATAGGGGACAACCCCCCAGGGGAGCATAATTTACATTGGGGGGCATCTTTTTTCATAAATAATTAAGGGTGGCCTTTTTTTAAAATTTTCACTTTTGGCTGAAATGACCC